TCTCCTGACCATGTACCCTTGCCTGGGACTTCTGGTTAGCACCACGCCACAATCTGCGAAAGCTGAATGGAGCCAGCTGGTCGTCGAGGTGGCCCGACTGGTTTAGAAACACCTTCCTATTCGCTCCCAGTTTACCTTGAGGCTAAATTGCACATGCATGATGGAAACTAGTCAGAGAAGCATGCACACAGAGAAGCCGTGCGGGCCGGACGGCCGGAGGCCGGTGGCCGGTGGCAGGAGACTTACACCAGCTTGCTCACGCTGCACACGGGGTGGCCCAGCACGCTGCAGAGGAAGCGCACGTCGTCGCGGCCCATGCGGACATTGATGAGGTTCAAGCATTTCACATTTGGGTTGTGAGTGACTGCCTCGAAGAGGAAGTTACCCTCACAACGAAAGTTAGTATTATTTATCCTGCAGAAACAGAAAACGTGAATAAGTGTCATCCAAGGAGCCCGTAAGCATGGCCCAAGAACCTGTCTCTGAGCATCTCCCCCGGCCAATGGGTCCTCCACGCTGATGTCATGGCCAGGTTTGTAGCTGAGGGGCTCTCAGCGCCCCCCACATGGGGAAGTTTTGGTTCTCACAGCGGGAGAAAGCTACTAGCGTCTGGAAGTCCAAACCCGAGTGCTCCTCAACACCCTGAAGTACACGGACGGTCCCCACCACCTGGGGTGGGAAACACTGCCGGTGGGGAGTTCTGCTGGGGATGGCAAGTGTCTGGCTCCTGTGCAGCCAGCCAGGACCAGAGCTGGAGGTGACACTAACACACATTTCCAAGACACACTCAAGTCTGGTGACCCAGACTTCCAACTTACGTGATATTCTCAACGAGACAGTTGGACTGCTTCAGCTGGTTAAACAGAACCATGAAGGCAGACTCACTGAGGATGCTGTGCTTCACCTGCAGCGTGTGGAGGTGCCTGCTGGTTGTGAGCACGGAGCACATCTGGTGCCAGTAGACGAGGCAGGCACTCGACCTGGGTGGGGAAAAGGGAGGAGCCTCTGGGCGCGGCGTCTGCGTGTGCCAAGCCCTGCTCAGGGATGGTGCTGCAGCCCCTAGG